GTTTATTGTCCATTATCACCTCGAGATCCACAACATCGTTTGCATGCACTAGTAGAGCAAACACAAAGTCGTCTTGTACTTGTTCATTGGTTAACGAGAAAACAGTTTGATGATGATATTCTTCTGACTGATATTGAATCAATATTGTTTAATAATGCTGTAAAGAATTATGTTGATCGTCTATCAAGTATGACAGTCACATCTAGTGACATTGCTTATATCATTTTCACAAGTGGTTCAACTGGAATACCAAAAGCGGTATGTTGAAATTTAGCTTTTTGATATTTCACTTATTTTTTTACTTTCTTATAGGTTCAAGTACGGCACAAGAATTTTACTGAATTCATGTGTTCGTTAGTTTATGGTGATGTAGTAAATGAAAGTGATACAGTTCTTCAACTCGCACGTTGTTCTTTTGATGTTCATGTCCAAGATATAATGGGCAGTTTTATGATTGGAAGTAGTCTAATTATGCTGCATCCAAGAGGAATCATGGACTTTAATTATCTTTCTGGTGTTTTCAAAGACAAGAATATTACTTGTATTACTACTGTTCCAACAATAATTAATAGTTTCTTCACTTTCCTGCAACAACAAAATCATCAGAATGTAGCGCAGTACCTGCGATCAATTTGTAGTGGAGGTATGTGATATTTATATGAAATGTATTATTTTTGATATCATGTTTTATCTCTAGGTGAGCCTTGCTCTTTGAAACTAATAAATTTAATGTCGAATACTGTAATACACACTTGTCGACTATGGAACATGTATGGCCCTGCTGAAACAACAATTGATTGTACATTTCATCTTCTCGATGACAAAATGGAACCTGAAAGTTTTCCAATAGGCAGACCGCTTTCAAATTACCAAAATCTAGTTTTAGATCAAGTCTCACAAAGGGTGTCTATCAACCAAGAAGCTGAACTGTTTGTAGAAGGAGCAGGCGTCTTTGCTGGTTATCTTGGACGTGATGATTTAACTGCTAAGGCTCTTGTTGAAATAGATGGTCAACTATTTTACCGAACAGGTGATCTTGTTAGAATGGATAATAATGGTCTTCTCCATTATCAAGGAAGAAAAGACCATCAAATCAAACTACATGGACAAAGAATTGAACTTGGTGAAATCGAACGATGTTTACTTAACATTATATCCATCTCTGTTTGTGTTGTCATGAAATGGAAAGATGATTATTTAGCTGCATATGTTCAAAGTTTTGATATAAATGAAGAAGAACTACGTGAACATTGTCAATCTCATCTTCCACCACATATGATTCCATCCATATTCATTATACTAGAGAAACTACCTTTGAATCAGAATGGAAAAATAGATCGAAAACAACTTCCTTCGCCCGATTTTTCTTCATCAACTTTGGTATCATCCGATAAATCTGATATTCCTCTTAATCAGTTCGAAGAACGTATAAACACTATTTGGTGTCAAGTTCTTCATTCTAATCAAAATCACATTTCTAGAACTACCAGTTTTTTTAGTGTGGGTGGTCATTCACTTCGCTTCATTGAACTCTATTATCGTTACCAGGCATTATTCAGTTTCGATGCTTATACACTCTCAATTAGTCTCTTTCTTCAACAACCAACTATATTTCAACATGCACAACTACTTCAAGCACTTCCATCCAATGATATGCAGACAACACGATGGCAATTACTACATACCAATCAAGGTAAAACATCTTTAAATTAAGAAAGATCCATCAAATATATAAACCTACTGATTTCTCTTATAGACATTACTTCTATTGCTCAGAAAGACATTTTTCTCGATGAACAAGTTCAAATTTCACATGAAATTGCTACCTATTCGAACTTTTTCGAGCATCCATTTGTTGTGATCAATGAAAGTTGCGATAATATTTTGTTCATCTTACCACCTGGTGACGGTGGTGCCGAAAGCTACTTAAACAACATTGTGCCTCGTTTGTCGCAATATAAACTGGTAATATTCAATAATTACTATCTTGATCTTAAAACCAAAAATATGGAAAAAGGCTTCTCATTCGAGGCGTTAGCTCCTGTACATATAAAGTATATAAAAGAAATTCAACACGATGGTCCATATAACTTTCTAGGCTGGAGTTTTGGTGGTATTTTGTCGTTTGAACTTTCTCGTCAATTGATAAATGTTGGTGAGAAAGTTGATAATATTTTTATCATTGACTCGTACTTTAATACAAGGAAGGCTTGTTTTGAAATTGGCAAAATGAATGAAGTGGATATTATTAATCCAATAAACTATTCTTATTTACCAATGATAGACAATGAACCATTTGAATTAAATATTATCAACAGAAATACAAGCATTGTATTATTTAAAGCTAACAAGATGGAGGAAAACTTTACATTGAACGATGGTTTAGAATTATCATCATACTATACCAATACATTATTTAATAACCTTGACACACTAGTGAGTCATGAATATATTCAGTTATTTCAAATGTATGGCGATAGCCATTCCTCTTGGATATTTAATGAAAAGCAAATTCTCAACATGTGCAACTATATAGCGAGTTTATTAAAATAAATAACAAAGAGAATAAATACAGTAATTTTCTTAAACAGACAGTAATCATTTTAGTTTGATTCTCCTAATTTATCTTATTTTTTCTTAGTTATTTTTGATTCTTATTAAAAATCTAATAAATATCTGTATTATTACTTGTGAAACGTCATAAACAAGATTAAATACAAATAAATGAAATACGTGCACTATATTACTTAATATTAAAGAATTACTGTTCATTCTGATTTTAACGTACTCATAGTATCGTTATTTTGCTTATTATCAGTAAATTTTAATTAAAAAAGGCAAGTATTTTTGCACAGTATTTTATTAAGAATACTCAGTACTTTTTTCATCATATGTTTAGTACGTTTTGCTCAATGAAATATTATCTTCCGAGTAGTATATAATTCGAATTGCACAGTAATCAATTCTAGAAAACTGAGTATTTAATTATTTTTCACCAAGTAGTTTTTACTTGTTCAGTTTATTTTAACTTACTTCAGTAAAATAGTACATTGGTAAGTAATACATAATCTTTGAATCAGTAGTGCTTTCTTGATATTTGGTGACCTACCATGACATCGTTTTGCACCAATCCTAATACCCTCAGCAGCAGATGATGGCTTACAGTAGTTTAACCTGATTGTAACACCTACAACATATTTATACATAAATTTCTTTAAAAAATCGGTCTTTACAAAATCTTCTGGCCATTTTAATTTATCGACTGCTGATGGGTGGCACACCATGTATCGAACGCCTCTTTTTATACTGATCAAAGGATTACCATTCCAATTTCTTCATTGCATCAATATTAGCGTTGGCAATTGTTGTTTGATACCGATCAAGTATGTAGTATTCAACAGAATTATCGAACTCAATCAAGAGTTTGGGTGTGGGTGGGTGTGATTGCCACTACTTAATCACAGAGAACATCCGCACCCACACCCTTTTTTTACTTTTGTCGAACTAAATAACAAGCAGAACGTCGTGAAACAGCTTCGATCACTTTGCAGCATTAGTGATTAACTCTCAAATCAACTTTTTTTCGTTTATCTAATGTATGTTGATTTTTATAGGTGGACCTTTTTCTGTTCCTTTAATTAATTTGATTGTGAAAATTGGTATAACAAATTGTATTGTATGAAATTTGTGTGGTTTAGCTGAAATAGCCATAGATTGCACAGTTTATCGTGCGAATGTCAAAAATGATGCGCAGAGTGTTTCAGTTGGTGGACCATTTTTTAATTACCGATGTATAGTTATGAATCAATATTTACAATCGTCTGTTACCAATCAAGAAGTAGAATTGCTTGTAGGAGGAGTAAGTATCTTTGCTGGTTATCTTAGTCGGGATGATTCGACAGCAAAAGCTCTTCTTGAAATAGATAGGGAACTATTTTATCAAACAAGTGATTTTATTAAAACGGGCAAAAAAGGCTATATTCACTATATTACTAGAAAAGACTTTCAAACTAAATTGCGCGGACAACCCATTGAACTTGGTGGAATCGAACAATGTTTATTGCGGGCATCGATTTCATCCTGTGTTGTTATCAAATGGAATGATGATTATTTAGTTGCTTATGTTCAATTTTCTCATACCAACGAAGAAGAACTAAGTCAACGTTGTCAATCTCATCTTCCACCACACATGGTTCCATCCATATTCATCATACTTGACAAATTACCACTGAATACAAATGGTAAAATAGATCGAAAACTTCTTCCTCTACCTGACTTTTTATCATCAGGTACTGGTTGTGATAGTAATAAACCAAATACTACTCTTGAACAACAATTACAATAGATTTTCAGTCAAGCTTTCCATGTTGAATCTCCACCTATTGACGTTCCTTTTGGTCAGCTCGGTGGAACATCATTAGATACTATTCATGCACTTACATTAATACGGCAACAAGTGCATACTAATATTGACATTGGTCTTTTATTTGCTAATCCATCTATTCGACAACTGGCTATTGCAGTAGAACCTTTGCTGATTTCGAATCAATCTCAAGAGACGGTTTTCACCGTTAATCAATCTCATGAAACATATGTTCACCTTGCACATTCATTTGTTGTAGAATCTATAGGTGTTATAGTTCTTGTCTGTCAATGGTTATGTTCAATTATAATAATTCATCGATGGTGTCCATTCCTTTTTCAAATCTTACCAGTATTTCATCTTTTATTCTATGTCATCTGCTCACGTCTATTCTCACCACGCTACATTAAAACTGATAATCTTTTCTCTTGCAATTATTATCGATGGTGGTTTTTAGATCGACTTTGGAATAATAATACATTTTGGTTGCAGCATATACTTGGTACACCACTCTACAGTTATTATCTTCGTCTTTGTGGTGCACGAATTAGCCTCAACACACATATTTATACCACAACTATCGATGCTCCATGGTTGTTAGAAATTGATGAAGGAAGTTGGATTGCTAATGAAACGTGTCTGAACTGTTTATATTTTAATGATGATAACACCTTCAAACTGAGTCCAATTAGAATTGGATCTAATTGTTCAATCGGTACACGATCGGTTCTATTTGATGGAGTTGATATGCAAAATAATATTATTGTTCAACCAATGTCATCAGTCACTGGCTTCGTCGCATCTGAAACGATTATCGATGGTGAACAACACAAATCTCTTCTGTCAGACACGTCCAATATGCATAGTAACAGATCATTATCCATATGGCATAAGATCTACCAAATTATTGTAATCATCTCGATAATCTGTATTCATTGTGCACTTTTAATCCTCGTCTATAAAGTTTATTCAGTTGGACAAATACCACTACTAATCAATATTGCTTTTTGTTGGACTTTATGGTCAATTATTGGTTGTTTTATTTCGCTTCTCCTCTTGAAATTCATAGTAAGGCCCTGTGCTGCTGGTGAAATATATCCAATAGCGTCTAGATTATATCTACAAAAAATATGGCTTCGTCAATTAATTGTATCTAGTTTTCATCATGCTTGGTTATTATCGACTACCTACGATTATCTTTATCCTTATGTTCTTCGTTGGCTAGGTGCTCATATTGAAGAGAATGTCAAAATCGCTGAGATAGACACATTTCTATCCTGTCCGACAAACCTATTAAAATTTGAAATGGGTGTTACTACTTTTGGTGGAGTTTCAATAGTTCCTACTGATTTGACATTCTCAGGTGATCATCGTGTAGATCAAATAGTGCTCGGATCTCATACAAACCTTGCCAATGGATGTTCAATCTTGCCTGGTAGTTGCCTTGCACCTGAGACAATGATCGGCAATTTAACACGTGTTTCACGAGAGACGAAAAGCAAATTCAGAGAAGTTCTCATGGGTGTTCCAGCTCGTACAATGCCATTTCAAATGCCTGTAACGCCAAAAAACCAAGATCAGATCAAAATCATACCATTTTGGCATTCATGCTTGTCTCATTATGTCAGCAAATGTCTTTTATTAAGCATTTATTCGTTTGGTGGTCTTGTCGGTGGATCAATCATTCATATAATGCTTGTGTGTGGTCTTAACCGATGTCGTTCAAATAAACGCCATGAAATTGTACAACAAATAATAGAAAGAATGAGTCAAGATTATGCACAATTTATTTGTCCATTTCTTGGCAATACACAATGGCTCATTCGACTATTTCGAGCATATGGCGCTCATATTGGTGAGAATACTATAATGCCTGATATATCCAGTATTACCGATTATCCTTTGATGAGTATTGGAGATAACGTTCGACTTAACGCTGGTACACAGATACAGGTAATACATACGTTTTTTGTTATTTACTTTCACATAAAATTGTTTTTGTGAATCTTTTCAGGGTCACAGTTTCGAACAACGTATTTTTAAACTAGCTCCTGTATCAATCGGCAATTCATGTGTACTTATGAGTAGCTCAATTGTAATGGCAGGCTGCGAACTAATGGGTAACAATCGTCTTTATCCTTTAACATTAATAATGAAAAATGATCAATTGTCACTGAATACTGATTGGAAAGGGCTTCCTGCACGTAAGTCACTCACACTGATGATCTGCTCTTATGTAACACTTCCAAGATATTGTCTAGTCGTTCTTAATATTCATTTTTTATATCCTATCATTTCTTTTTAGTGAGATATACTGTTCTTAAAAATGGGCATACTATAGTTCCAATGTAAGAAGCTAAATTGAGTACAGCATTTTCTAGATCTTCTGCTGGCAAGCCATGATAAAAATCATTTGATTAATGTTCTTTTTCACTTACACTAGATTATTTTCTAGACTATTCTCCAACCATAACATGATATACTATACATCGAATCTATTTTTTATTGTATTCTTTTATTAATATGGAATTCAATTACATCTCTTTGTCAGCTTCAACTTATAATTAATTATCAACGTCTTATACTAGTATTAGATCAGTTTAAAATTATTATTCTCTATTAATAAATTATAATTTGTGAGACAAAATAAATTGACAATCAATATCTTTCTTAGATATATCATACGAAGATATGATTGAGTATCAGATTCGTAACACTTTAAACTCTCGTTAGATTAACTAATTGTATAATTAGACTAGAAAATTAAAAAAACTGCACATCAAAGATCATGACAGGATTGTACATTTACACTATTTTCGAACTGAATACAAAATCTTACACTTTCATGTTTATCATACGTTTTGTCATATCTGGATTCTGATATCTTATTCTTTAAAACAGTTTCATTTGAAGTTAAACTACTTACTTTGAATTGCTGCATATAAATTCATTCATTGTTTTATTATATTATATCTCTTTCTTCTAGGATCTTACACAGTAAAAGCAAGATTATCTCGGTCGACAATAGTTCATGACGATCTAGTAAAATATCAGCAAGGATACGACACCATTAATAAATTGTTTCTTTGGTACGAACGAATTGCAAGCGTCTATACGAGTATAAATGAATTACAATTTATGAATTATGGCTATGCAGATATGGATGAATATATCGATGATCATACTGGCTATTATTCGAGAAAACTTTATGAACAGGTATGTAGAAAAGAATACATGACTCTATTTTAGTGTTTCTTTTTTGTCCTACTTCGCATCCACTATCAACAGAGATTGTCATAATCTGTGATTGATAAGGAATTTGTATGGATATGAATATAAGATTGTTTTATTAAATGCTACACACTCTAAATATGAAAAGTAAATCATTCAAATCAACTTATTTACATATAGTCGAGTTGATATACAAAGAAAGATCGAAATTTGGTGACTTTTCCAATGTACAAGCCATGATTAAAATATTTTGTTTTATTTTCTAGGTTCTTGCAAATGCGACATTAACAAATCAGAATATCCTTGAAATCAATTGTGGTAGAGGTGCTGGTGCTGCATGGTGTGTTCATACTCATGCATCTCACTCTTACACTGGAATAGATCCTTCTCAAGACGTCATTAACTTATGTCAACGACTTTATTCGACACCTCCTCGACTTTCTTTCGTAGTAGCTAATGCAACAAAACATTTACCATTTGAAAATGAGTCAATTGATATTATTCTGTGTATTCAAGCAACACATGCTTTTGGCGAACCAATAGCAATCACACAGTTTGCCAATGAGGTCGTTCGTGTACTTCGTCCAAATGGATATCTTCTATGGTGTGATTTTTGTTACATGAATGGATCAAGTACATCAGTTTATGATCTGATAGGAAATGATGAACTAATTATTGAAGAAAAGATTAATATTACAAAGAATGTTCTTCATGCACTTGACATTCAAAATAAATCTCGTACTGATTTCATTCAACGTTATATTCAACCTGAAGAACAAGAGCATTTTCGTCAGTTTGCTGGATTACCCGGTACTCAAATTTATGAGGACATGAGTGAAGGACGTTCACAATATTGGCGAGTTGTATTTCGAAAGAAGACAATAACAGATATGCCTATCATCTGAAAACAAATTTTAATTTAACAGTACAAACACTTTTTATTTTTATCCTTACTTACTAATCTCATATTATTCAATTTCATGCTAATACCTCATTTTTATTTCTTAACTAATAAATTATCTTTATAATCATGAATCTCTATTCATTTCATCACATTGAATAAGATGAAGTTTTAAGAAAAAGTACATAATAAATTATCTTTTTATTTCTCCCACAATTTGGGTGTGGGTGTGAGTGTGCGTATGTTATGATTAATATATTCGCACCGATATCCACCCCGCACACACCCACACCCATCTAGAGTAAAAAATAACTGGTCAGATTTCTCAGTTCTATCCATGATAAAACATTAGTTTGTTGATTTTATTATTTATTCAAACAATATAATATTTAATTCAAAGTTTTTCTAAACTATCACTTGTTTGAACTTCAGTTTGACTTAGTAAATCATTACATACAATAATAGGAACATCTATTTGCCATAGATCTTCTGGATTGCCAAGATAAATTTTAAATTGAATTTTATAATCAATTGATAAATTAAAAAATGAACGATTATCTCTTTCATCATATTTATATTTTAATGTTGCTGGTAGAAAAGTTTTATTTGGAATATTTAGTAACGTGTGATGTCGAATTAATTTATGTTTCGATAAAATATAATTTGTATTTTCAATACTATTTGATATATCTTCTTGATAAATATTGGATTCTACAAGATAATAAATTCCTAAACTAATATCAATCTTTTGAATATATTCTTCTGATGGATTTTGAAGTTCATAAAAGATTTGAATAACATCACCAAATTTAAAGACTGAACGATTTATTTTAATTTTAATATTTGTTTTATAACATTGATTATCTATTGAACCAAAAAATAATGGTGTTAAACGTGAAGGTTGATCGATTTGAATATAAGGATAAATATAAATTGGAATTGAAGAATAAATTTTTTCTTTCGATTTTTTATAAACTAAATTAATTGAATAGGATATATTTGGAAAAATATTTAAATTATTAAATGAAGGTGGAAGATGTTCATTTAAATGAAATCGAAAGTTTTGTTTTGTAGTACACGATGAAATAAGTGAAAGTTTTGATGAAAAGAATATAATCTCACAATTTTCTATTTGTTTTTGCTTATGTTTTTCAAAACGAATAATTCCTGTTAATAAAATAAATGATTTGCATTTTTTTGTAGTTAAAACTGTACCAGAAACAATACCATTCGGTAAATAAATAGTATCAGGATGATCAAGTTCAATTTGATGATACCTTCTATGACTATGATGTTGTTGCTTTTGTTGTCTATTACCCATTAGAATGAATAGTAAAGGAGTATAGTCCATTTAATTTATCTCTCACTATATATATAGAACTCTGACTACACGTGTGTCGTGCATGAGACTTTTTTTTCTTCGAAAGTATGCTTATTTAAATATATTATTATGCATAGAAGTAGTAGATAGGTGAGAGAATGTTTTATACTGTTTTACCTGTATTTACTTTTGGTATATTTATTAACAGGTTACATCGTCATATGTGAAAGTCGAAAGTACCTGATAATAGAGTTTTATGATATCAGTTTCTACTACATAGAATAATATTCAGTATTTGAAAAAATCGTTGTTGTTTTCATCAGTTTATTTTATCATATTGCATAATGATGAAATAAAAACAAACAAAATATATCCTTAAAAATAATGAAAAAAATCAAAAACTCTTCTTGTTCATTGCGTTGAGAATTAAATCTAATTTCTCACAAAAATAATCAGCATCCACCATTCCAAAACACATTGGTCTAAAACAAAGCAATAAACTCTCATAGATGATCGTTCAAAAAAATGTTTTATTCATATTTACGATTTAAATTTGAGCACATTATGATCAGGACCATCAGTTGAAATAATTATGAAATTTTCGCGAAGCCTTAGAAAAATTTATATGATTATAACAAGTATATTTCTTATTTTATAATAAAAACATACAGTAATTGAATTTCTCTTGTTTCTATAGTTGCAGGTTCACGTGTTTTTCGATCACGTACAAGTTCAATACCAAGAAAAAGACCTCGACCACGAACATCACCAATAATATCATGTTGTTTTTGTAATTCTTTTAGTTTTGTTAGAAAATAAACACCAACTTTATGAGCATTTTCTTGTAAATGTTCATTTTCAATAACATCAAGAAGAGCAATTGCAGCTCGACAACTCACTGGATTTCCACCATATGTATTAAAATATTCAATACCATCACTTTCAAATTTTTGTGTTATATCTTTACGAGTTACTAATGCAGCAACTGGAAATCCATTACCCATCGATTTACCCAATGTTACAAAATCAGGAATAATACCTAATTAAGAAAAAACTACAATTTAAAATTTAGAATCTACTTTTTCTGTATAGTAACCTTCTTCATAAGAATCATATGCCCAAAAATGACTACCACTTCGACCAAATCCTGTTTGAACTTCATCAGCAACACATAAAATACCTTTTGACTGAAGATAACTATGGATTACATGAAGAATTAAAATGAATTGAGAAAAATATCTTTATATTTACTCAAATGTTTGTTTAAGATATCCATTTGGATAAATAATTTGTCCACCACATGATTGTAATGTTTCAAAAAACATTAATGCTATGCGTCGTCCACGTGATTCTGTTTCTTCAACTATTCGACGTACTTCATCAACATATAGTTCACATAATTTAGCTTCATCATAATTATAATCAATATCACGATATTTTCCTCGATAAATATCAGGTGTTGGAATCTAAAATGAAATATAAGATACACATGTTATGTTTTCTCATTCAATCATTACTCACAACATGAACATGTTCTGGCATTTTCGTAGGATTCTTCATCTTTTTATACTCATATGTAGATAATTCAACAAGAGTTGATATATGACCATGATAGGCACTAAACATAAAAATTCATTTTCTTTACTAATCATTCTTCTTTATACATACTTATCAAGTGCAAGAATATCATAGTTTCCTGTAAATCTTCTAGCTAAACGAATTGCTAAATCATTTGCTTCAGATCTAAAATATATATTAAACTCATTTGTGAAAACAACAAAATCAGCTTTTATTTTTACCCTGAATTTGTATAAAATATTTGTTGAAGACTTTTTGGTAATGTTTTAGAAAGTTTTTCAGCAAGAACAACTGTATTATCATGCAAATAACGATTATTTGTTGCACATGCACCCATTTGTCTATAAATTTGTTTATTAACATATGGATGACAATGACCAACTAAAAGATGAAAGAATGATATAGATACAAATAATAATAATAATAATAAATACCATGTGCAACATTATTAATACAATCTAAATATTTATTTCCTAATTGATCATACATATATGTTCCTTGACCACGAACAATCTTCAATGGACTATGACGATAAAAAAGCTCAGTACAATTTCTATGAATGAAAACAAGTTTATTTCGAAGAAAAAATAAATGTAATCTTACGGAATATAAGTACCACGTAATTGTAAAGTTTTATCTCTCGTATAAAATTCTTTGATATCAAATTCAGATTCATCATAACCATTAAGAGCTATATCGGTATGAAGACTATTGCCAATATGAGAAGCCATTGGTACAATCTATATAAAATCTGAAATGAAATCACATTTTTTTATCAGTGGTTTTTAAGATTTCTTGATTTATGATATAGATGATTATTTATTTCATATAAAATATTATCAGTCGATTATAATATAGTTTATCCAGTGAAAAATTGTCAAATTATACCTCATTTTGTACGATTATGATCGATTGAAATCATACAAACTTGGTTTACTTTATCTTTAATCAAAATTATATTTGATTTACAAGATTATTTTTTGATTAAAAATCGAATTATTGTTGATTTAAAAGATTTCAATCGATTATAATCTTACAAAATGAGGTATAATTTAACGATTTTTCACTGGGTAATTATATACAGCGTGTTTCTAAAGTTCGAATATTCCTCAAGGATCATTCTCTTTCATGAGATAAAACATCAAATAAGATCTCGACCATAAACAATGAATTACGAATATTAGAATTGTTTCTTCAAGTATAACTGATAAAAACAGACCAAGGTACAAAGCTGAAAAAAAAGCGTCAACACTTTTTTGTTGAATCAAAAAAATGATAAAGTATCTACGCCTCAAATAAAGAAAGATAATCAAAAAGTAATGTAGTTCGAAATGAGAACAATGTACGTTGATCTTTTAGATTACAACGAAAGATAAAAAACACATCTCGACAGATGAAAGCGCAGATAAATATGATTTTCATTTGATTATTATCACTGTTTTAAATAATATAAAATTAATTTTATCTCTTTATTACAACCATATGGAAATAAAAATAACTAAAGTCTGAAAAAAATTGTTTTGATATTTTATCAATTATATTAGTTGTACCATAAAAAAAAAGTCAAAGTATGTATGATAAAAATAAATCTTAAAATTCCCATTTGTCATCTTGAATACCACGAATAACAACACGAGCTGTTACAGCTGTAGCTAAAGCAGCAAATGCCCAAAACCAGAAACCACCAATTCGTGATACTGGAAGCCAATTGCGATGAACTTTTGCAAGTGATTCCATGAAAGCTGTTTTCTTTTGAGTATAAGGTGGATTTCGCTTTGAAAGAATTGGTTCTGACCATGTTGGTGAATACACAACCGAACGATTATGACTAAATGTATTAAATGAGTATTTGCCATGATAATTTCCTAAGCCACTTTCACCGACACCACCAAATGGTAATGAAGGTGGAGCTATTTGAAAAATAACATCATTAACACATGTTGTACCGGAACTGGTTGAATTTATAATAGTTTTAGCTATATTTTTATTCGATGTAAATACATAAAGACCTAATGGTTTAGGTCGAGCATTAATAAAGTCAATTGCTTCCTGTTGACTTTTAACTGTTACAAATGGAAGAATGGGCCCAAAAATTTCCTCTTGCATTACTTTATCATTTCCATTTACATTTGTCCTAATAGAAAAGAAAAATAATTTATATGTAGAAAAAAACTTTTTATTCAATATTGTTTTACATACATAATTGTTGGTGAAATATAATTTCGTGTAGCATCTGTTTGTCCACCATAAGTAACTTTTGCTGTATCAATTAATTTTTGTACACGCTCATAATGTCGCTCATTAACAATATGACAATAAGAATCCGAATTAGCTGCATCATTAGTGTAGAATAATTGCCAAGCTTTGATTATTTCTGGTATGAGACGACTTTCTGTTTCTTTTGAACATAAAATGTAATCAGGTGCTAAACTGAAATGAAAGATATGGAATGTAGAAACTACTTGACTCTATTTATGAAAATGGTCTTCTCAATAATATATATTTTATGGTAGAAAGCAAATTTTTCTAATATAAATAATCTTGAATCTGCAATACTTAAGACTAACTCTGTTAATGTTCATAAAAAAAGAATATTTTACCATGTTTGTCCGCAGTTAATAGTTTTTCCCCAAGCAATACGTGTAGCAGCAACTGCTATATTAGCATCATCAGCAACATAAACTGGACTTTTACCACCACATTCAAGAACAACTGGTATCATTTTTTCAGCAACTGTTTTCATTATAATTTTACCAACTGCTGTTGAACCCGTGTAAAATACATGATCAATATCACCTTTAAGTAATGCATGAGTTTGATCAATAGCACCTAATACAACACGTATACAAGCTGGATCAAGATAACGTTCAACCATTGCAGCTATGATAGCTGCTGAATTTGGTGCCAATTCCGATGGTTTTATTATAGCACAATTACCAGCAGCAATTGCACCGATTAATGGTGATAATGTTAATTGAAATGGATAATTCCATGCACCAATAATTAAACAAATACCAAATGGTTCAGGATGAACATATTTATCCATTGTAGCAAATGCTAATGAATCTGAACAAGATTCATCACGTGCCCATTCGTCTATGTGATTAAGTAAATGTGTACATTCATTTTTAATCTATTAAAATAAATTTATAATTCAAGAAATGTAAGAAAAAAATTGGAAAGAAAAACTTACAACACCACAATCATATAGATGTGTTTCCGCACTGGGTCGATGGAAATCAGTATTTGCTGCTGAAGCAAAAACTTCTTTTTGTTCTTCACACATTTTGATTATTTGTTCAATTTGTTTTTTTCGCCATGCTACTGGTCTTGTCTTACCAGAATTAAATGTAGCACGAAGATCTTTGAACATAGTTGGTATAGTATCCATTGATGTTTCAGTCATGGCTGATCTAACCGACATTTTTAATTTCTCAGGTGAATTAGAATGATATAACTTTTGTTTTTGTTTCAAAACCTGAAAATATTATGTAGGTTAAGTAGTGGATTTGTTTACTATCCTATTGCCTAACACTAAACACAAGTTAAAGATTTCAACTAAAGATGTCGCATAGAATTGATATAACAAATCTTTTCGTTCTTTCAAAATTTTATTTTTCTAAATATATTTCCTAAGCGTGAATATTTTATAATTGTCAATATAGAAAAATAAAATATAAGCACACGATTAAATAACATTTGTTTATAAACTGGCATATTTTTATTATTTTAAACAAAGAATAATATTATTGCTAAAAGATTTGTTTACACAAAAAAAAAATCATTCAAATAATAAAGAAAAAAAAAAGTATACATTATATTATCTATTAAACTTTTGGATTCGCCGGCTGTTGTTTATCTAATTGATACTCATTGAGTTCCTGTCGGCAATGTTCTAATTCTTCTTGAGTTTGAAATATATGGGTATGAAATGGTGACCCATAAACATGTTCACCACTCCATTTAACTGATATAATATAATCTCCAGATTCAGTTGGATTATATCGACATACAATTGTACGATCTTGTAAATGTTCACGTTGCATTTCAACACGAAAAGCACCTTTTGGACCACGAATTTTGACTGTTAATTGTCCAGCACCTATATTAAATGTTGATTTTATAAAAATTTCTATTTTTAAATCTTTATTCATATTTACCTGCTCCTTTCGTTTCACAAATAAAATGCGATTGAAATGTTGATAGAACTCCATGTTCTATACCAGGACCAGAAACGCGTACTTTATCTAAAGATGAATTCATTCGGTTTTAATTTCTATATCTTTAAATTATTTTGCGATACGTACTAGCATCAAGTGGACCACTGACTTTAACTGTAAATGGACTACCTGGTACATTTGTAGCATTATATTTTATTGTTAATACATGTTTTCCAGATTCTTCTGGTTTAATAAATAATGAAAATGTTCCATTACGATGATCAAATAATCGACAAGTCGCTTTTTTATTCATTCCTTGACAAAAAACTGTTAATTCTCCTGGCTCTGTTGTACGTGTATCAATTGAACATTTGCTTTCTTTTCCTAATATTCCTATACGTAATCCATCACCTGAACAAATAACTCGTTCTGCTGCATGATTATTATTCGTATTTGGTAAAACATTAACTTTAAATGGTGATCCACGTATTTGTTGTTCTGCCCAAATTATACTCAATAAATAAATACCTAAAAGCAAAAGAAGAAAAAATAATTTGAAATTCTTATCTCTTCTGTTTTTCTTTCTAATTCTACCTGGTACTGTTGGTTTATAAGAACAAATAAAAATATTACGATTTTTTTCAATTTGACGAATTCGTACATCTATATCCGTTTGTTTACCAGTTAATCGTACGACTAATTTACTCGAACTAGTATGTGGTGCTCGTGATGCATCAATAAAAAATTCAACTTCTTCATTAACTCGTGCTTCATATGAACCACGACCATATATTCCTACTTTTAATGGTTCAGAACTAGCTGATATTGCAACCACTCGAATAGGCATATTCGGTAATGGAATTGATGCATGTGTAATTGTTAAATCATATTCTCCTTCTCGTCTAGCAGTAAAATTTAAAGTCGATACATGACCTTGTTGATCAATACGTAATGGTATACTACCATTATCAGCACCTTGAATATCTGCTTTTAAAGTACCTAAACAAGAACAAAACAAAACAAAACAAAAAATGATATTTAATTAAATTAAGAATTTTTACCTGGTCCAGCTTGTGATGTATCAAAACAAATTTTCTTTTCTTCATTAGTAATAACACGCATACGATTTTGTGCATCAAATAATGCTTGTAAACCACCAACAATTCGAATACGTTCTAAACATTAAATCTTAGATTTATTTAATTTATAAAAAATATTTAACCTGGATTTGTAACTAATGCTTTAAATGGACTATTAATGATATCTTTTCCATTCCATTTTACCAGAATATTAAGAAAACCAACATCAACAGGTTTATAGATAATTTTAACTAAACTATTATTAATTCGATCCATTGTAGGATGAATAATAGAATTAGGACCTTCCATATATACTTTTAAATCACCAAGTAATTCTTTTGTATCAATCATAAATGTTGTTTCGGTTTCGTGTAAAGCATGATGAATTCCATTACCATATGCAGTTACCATACGTCCATTCGTAACCATCATTTTTAATGGTGTACCTTTTGTTTTATTTTATAAGGATAGAAATAAATTTTTAAAATTAAAATTTTAACATACCTGGTATTATATCAGAACCAAATTTTGCATTTAAAGTATGTAAACCAGATTCAATAGGTGTAAAATGTACTTTAGTTACTTTTGTAGCATCATTAATTTTAAAAGGAACTAAATAAATAAAGAAAAAAAACATTTTCGTGCTATTTATAAGAAAAAGTTATAATCGAAATGAACATAATTGGACATGCAATAATTCTTCCCTTCTATCGAATAAAACATGCGACTCTATTTCTTAGTACAATGAATAATAGGTAAGTAATAAAGTAGGACAAGTGAAAGTGAAGTGATAGAATAGAATAACTTGTCCTGTGCTTATTGCAGATTCAAACCATTCCTTTTGTATCATTCACATGATTTATTATTGATAATTATTTCAAAAAGGAAATAATCAAGCATATGCGAAAGATTTTTTCTTCTTACCATTTAAACCTGATGATGAAATAATTGAAATTTCAAGTGGTGCACATCCAGCATTATCCATCATAATATCAAATGTATGTTCTACTCCAGTAAAAATCTCTTTTGGCATAGGACCAAGACGTACTTGTAGTGGATTATATACTTCAGTAAATAATGGACTACCTTGTATAGGCACATTACCAAATGTAATATCAATACGATGTTGACCTTAAAAATAAATGAATTCATTCGTATTTTTATATATTTAGTTTTTTATTTACCAATTTTTTTTGGTGTAAATTCACCCATATAATCTCCATTTGCTTGTGGAAATAATTTCACATTCACTGATTCACCTTTAGGACCTATAAAATAAAATTCTTTACAAATATTTCAAAAAAAAACGTTTTTCATCATACCAACAACTAATGATCCACAAATAGCATGTAACATACGTCGATTTGGATCGAATAAATTTAATATTTGTTTATCAATTAAATTTCTTAGCGCATTAATAATTTGTTCATTAGTTGGCATTTGTGGTGGTATTTCAAATAATTGAAATAATACAGTTGCATAACCTAATTTTAAGAAAAAAGTATAATATTATCTATATAATTCAACAAACCATTATCTTCTTCAAGTGTTAAATTTCGAATACGTTCTTGTGTAAGTCTTAATCGTGCAGTAAGAAGTATTGTTAATGAAGTAAAAAAAATTTGTGATGGAAATTGTAATAATTGTTCATATGGTTCAAGTAATTGAAATGCAATTACTTGTCCAATATCAGAACGATTACCAACAGAAAGATCTAAATAAAAAATGAAAATAAAATTTTATTTCAAACCAAAAAAAAAAATTACTATATATTTTTGCTTTAATTAATCCCCGTTGACCATGACAATGAATACGAAATATTCCTAGATCGTTTAAACGTAAACGATGAAAACATTTACCAGTAACTTGAACGACATCTGATCGTTCAATACGTATGGAAAATGGAGATCCTAAAAAGTGAAAAAACAATAAAATTTTTTTTTCGTATTATTAATTAAATTATATTTATACCCGTTATAGGTTTATCACGATTAGATATATTGACTAAATAAAAGCCAGGTTCTTTCGGAGTAAAATTTATACGAATGAGATTATCATTAATAATTGTCATTGTTGATGGAATTTGAACAGTATCGAGAAGAACAACTGCTCGAATTTGTGAATTTGATGTTGATTTCGTATGAACTTAAATTAGCAAAAACAAATTAAATAATGAAATTATTTTTTCAAATTAATTTACTTTGTATCACGCATGGTGTATTTGTCAGACCGGATAGAAGATGTTTATCATTAGAATCTTTGACTTGAATAAGATATGGTGAACCTAAAGAGACAGAATTAAATTAATCAATAACGAGATATGATATAATTTCTGCTTACTCATAATAGGTATTCCATTATGAAGTAAATATATTTTATGTGTACCAACTACATAAGGTCGAAATTTCAGATTCCAAATATGTGTATCTTTTGTTTGTACAAGTTTACATGGTACAGTAACTCCATTACATGATATTTGTCCACGTATGTCTGATTTTTCAGTAATGACTATATAAAAAAAGAATTGAGTTTGAATTTATGTTACAAGAAAAAAATTACTTTCAAGACAAATATCATCACCAACTCGAGGAATATCATTTGGTGAAATTTTTTGTATATGAACAAGTGGAAATGATGATAATGTTGATGGCGGTATTGGTGGTGGTAGAAGTGAGTAGACATCTGTATCAATTGTTTTTCCTTGTACAAGTTGATTATTAAATAGAAGACGAAGTTGATATCGACCAGGTTCACTTGGAATATATTGAATAAGATATTCCTGATTGTTTAATTCATGTACATGACATCGACATGCAATTGTTGATGCTTGTGGTTTAACTAATTCAGCTTTCAAATGACCTTGTCCAGCTTGACTTATATTGACTTAAAAATAAATTTTATATACATATATATTTAGATTAAAACAAAACAATACCTTTGTAAGCAACTGTTGTTCTTACAACAACAGGATCACTATGTTCAGCAATGATTGAAATACCCTGTAGATCATAAACACTCACATCGAATGGTGTACCTTAAATCAAATGTCATCAATAAAATATTATCGGAACTAAATTCATCAGTTATAACATCTTCCGTTTTTCTAATAGAATATTTTAAAAGCGATCAATCGATTTCTATAGTATTTTACTTATTTCTAATAAATTGTGTTATAAACATTTTTTTTTATTCTAATCTTGAATCGATTTCATAATAAACCATCTTAAGCTATTTAAATTAAACTTTGTTTATATCTGTTTTTTTCTTATTGATCATTGATCAATTCATTTGTTTCGAAGAAAGAAAAGTTTCTATATCTGTTTTCTTTTTCTGATGAAATGATCAAAGTAAATTTTCTATCAATTTGTTTCTGTTAGAGAAAACAACAATAATGATATAGACAAATTCTCATACTATGTCAATATATGATTAGTCAATGTCAATCGTTTCTAAGCTGATTGTCATATCTTCAAAACAATGACCGAATACTCATTAATTGATAAAGATGGCAAATCAGACACAGTTAGATAAGAAAAAGGTGAGAGAAATCATTGGTTGTCAAGACATTTTTAACGAATCTCATTTCATATATAATCGTCATATTCGAATATATCACAACAGAATTAGAAAGGCAATAAGAAAATAATGTCAACTGAAAAACAACGTCAACAACAAAGTCCATATGATTATTCTGTTAAACGTTTATTATCTCAAGATACAAATTCAAGTTCAACAGGTAAGAAATGAATAAAACCAAACTAATTCGAAATAAAATTTAATTATCTAGAACGATCGAGTGTTCTTCTATGTCCTCCACCAAAAAATCGTGCTCGTCGTGCTCGAACGTATTTTGATGATCGAAGTATACAAATACTTGAACATGCTTTTTTACAAGAACAATATCCTGATATTCATCGTCGTGAACAATTATCAAATGAAATTGGTACAAGTGAAGCACGTGTACAAGTAATTGACAAAAAAATACTTCATACTTCTATGTAAAAATTTTTTCTTTCAATTAAGGTTTGGTTTCAAAATAAACGTTCACGTTGTCGAAAACGTTTATTAACAAAAACAATTTCAAATGAAAATAATATTGAAAATGATGAAACAAATTCGAAATTAAATCATGAAAATACATTTGATGATTCACAAACACGAACACCTATGAGATCAATTTCAACATCAAATGTTCTACCATTCACTCCAACTCCTATTCAATCAGTTTTGGCTACACATTTTCCTTTTTTTCTTCAGCATTTCTATTAAAAAATTTCTTTTTTCTTCTATGTCTATATATATGTATGTATATGTCTGTGTATTCATATAATAATAAATAAATCTTACCGTTTACAGGAATATTTTTATAAGCTAGATAGATACGATATGTTCCAATTTTTGCTGGTATGATTGTAATTTGAATACGATTTGTTGATAAAGGTTGTATTTGATAAGGAATTTTCAGTGGTTTTAATGGATCAAAAACCATAATAAAGAATTTTCCTTGAATAGGGTTATCAATTTTACCTAAGAAGAAAAATGTGTGATAAATTAGATAAAAGAAAAAACAGGATATGTATATACAGATAAAATGACATTTGTTAATTGGTTGTAATGGATCAAATGGTTCAACTTGAATTCCGTCTGGATTGTAAACAGGAAATATATATGGACAATCTAAGCGAAAAATAAATTTTATATCTCATTATCGTTGTTTAACTTACCTAACATCGGTTGTCCCATATGATTTTTTAATATTATCAAATAATCGCCTTCAATTACGGGTCGAAACTTTAGTAGAAATGTATTTTCATTTCTACGAGCTGTTTGTAAAGGAATTTTTGTCGTATCTTTCATCACATGTACATAAACAACATGAGGAAGATCAACTATTTAAACAAAAGTTTATTATTATTATTATAATACAGGAAAAAGCAAACTTACTTAAGAGATGTACATCATCATTAACAGCTGGATATGCTCGTTTTAAAATTATTTTAAATGGATATCGCCGTGGATCTATAATATATTAGAACTTATATCTAGCATTCTATTTATATTTATCATACCGAATATAATATCAATTGGTTCTCCACGTTCGAATTTCTCTTTCAATATTTGAAACCGCCGAATTTCTGCATCAGTCAATTGAATATATTGTAATTTTGGTTGAGTTGTTACATCTTCTGATTTATTAATGACTTGTTTGTGTTCTTCGATTACTAATGGTTCTTTTTGTAGTATATTAATGTCACTGGATTTTGCTAATAGCGGATGTGTTGTTCCTGTTGTTTGAGATTTTTCTTGTTGTTGTGCAAATATTAATAAATCATGTTTCGAATAAATTGAACGTCCACGTTGTTCAGTTTCAGGTAATCGAGCGATTTTACCTGTCGATTCTATAATATTTTTATTGAAGTTTTTTGTTTATTAAAAATTCAAAACTTACGTTCTTCATTAGTTTCATTCGATACTTGAAATGTTGTTTCAAGTACTGATATTCGATTGAATAGTATTGAGATGGAATGTAAACCTATAAAAAATTAATAAAGATTAGTTTTATATCTTGTAAATTTACCTAAAACAATCGGTTCAAATTGAACAAGAATTTGATTATTCGATTGTTTTTGAACAGTAATAGGTAAAGATCGATTATTTGGATCTAATAAAAATAGGTATAAATTACAACATCATTAAAACAAAAAATGATTTTATTAACCTTTGATTATTATTTTTAATGAACCTTTTCCAGCTAGTGTCGGATCAATAAGAAATGAATGTGTTGTTTTTAAAAATGCTTTCTTTGGAAAATTTTGTATTTGTATAGATGTTGGATCAAATGCATGAACAATCAATGGACTACCATTAAGTGGTTCACTTCCTTTCGAAATATGAATTTTAACAGGTCCTATAATAATTATAAATCATATTTTTTTGTTTGTCATAAGATAAAAGAAAACGTACCAACAACAAGTGGTTCATATGAAATACATTTTCGTCCATCAGGAAGATGTTCCATTTTATGAGGAATTTTCTCGTCATTAGTATCTATTGAATAATAAAAATCAAATTTTCGTATACTATGCAACTATTTCAATCGATCGAATGAATATTTTAAGTGTAATCAAGCGAAATGTCTAACGTAACAAATATATTAGGTCATATATTCAGTTAGAATATCGAGAAATATGAATTTGATTTGTGTACCTACTAACAAACTTTTAGTAGTTTAAAAACAATAACAAGTCTCTCAAATAATATATGTGATCGTAAATTAGAAAATATTTTACCATAAAGAACAATCTTAAATTTATTATCTGGATCTTTAAGACTAAATTTCGATGTAATACGAACACCTGGATCGACTAAATCAGTTATATCAAGTACTTGTACTTTCGGTGTTGTTTTATCAGCTATAGGTGGTGATTTAGTTGCATCATTCGGAACTAATTCAGCAGTATTTGTTACATGTTCTTTAATTGGTGATAATGAACGTTGTTGTACTGGTGCTGATGAACCATTTGATGATGTTTCCGATGTTTCACTAATGGCTGCTAATTCTCTTATTAGAGATACTGAATCTGATGTACTATTATTACTAGTAGTATTTTGATTTGGTAATGGTTTGTCTTTTGGTGAAGGTGTATTAACTGGTGATAATGGAACATAATCATCATCAAATGCAAATATTGGTAATAAAGCAAAACTATCACTTTCATCATTTGTTATACGTATCCAATGTGTTCCTTTTAAATAGAAAATTTTGCTATATATATATATATAAATTATAAAAACTTTATTTACCAACGCGAACTGGTGATAAAATTATTTTTAATTCACCATTCTCATTTTTCGAATGTTTAAATGGTACTGGTTTATCAAATGGATCTATAAAAGAATTCACAATTACAAAAGTTTAATTGTATCATATAAAATAACTTACCAGTTATATTTATTTCTAATTTATTATCATTATCAATAACACCTTTAAATGTATGTTCAAGTACTTCTTTAACTTGTACACGAAGTACAGGATCAAATGTACTTTTAGCACGAAAAGCCATTACACGAATAGGACATATATCGAGAAGATTATTCTGTGTACGAATAAATACTTCATGAATTTCTAAATAAGAAAATAAAGAATAAGATTTCACACTGTGGAGTTCGATAGACTTTCATATCTTTCTTAAGTAAGTTTAACTAGATTATTACATCAACATTGAGATCGATCTAGATAAACTTAAACTAGCGATATTATCAGTTGCCCATGAATATATCCTATTTACTTTTAGTTATATAAGCCACATCTGATATTGTCTACTAATTATGATGGTAGCATTGACAAGTCAACTAAGAAAATTTATATCAATCTCTCTAATCCAAGTTTCTTTTTTCGGGTGGGCGCCGCCCACTCAATCCACCCGCTAGATAAAACACTCTCTCAATCGATATTATTTTTATTTCTTACCTGTTCGGACAGGTATATATTCAATAACAAGATCTTTATTCATATTCCGATAGAATGCAGCTGGAATTGTATGTGCCAATGGATCTATAATATAAAAAATTTCCTTTTTGAAAAGAATGATTCCTTTATTTTTGCTTATTTTACCTTTGACAATAACATTAACATCTTCAGCAATAATTTTACTTTGATCAACAATAATTCGTGTTATATCCTCAACACCACCATTTCGTAATATATCTGTTTCTTCTGCTACACAATGTATATCAAATAATTGTTCATTATTATCATTTTTAATACTCAATTGATAATAATCTATAGAGATTTTCAAAAAAAATACAAAATTTTCATTGATTATTTTTCTCTTACCAATTTCTGTTAATGTAAAATAAATTTTCCATTCTGGTGATTCTTTTTCAATTTCCATTGGAGTTTCATCACCATTTGAATCTATATTTTTATAATTATTTTCTTTAATAAATAAATAAATTTCAAATAATCTTACTTCTTAGCTGAACTTTCATATTTTCACTTTTACAATTAACGGAAATAAAATTTAAAATACTAGGATGAACAATACGTTCACCATATACATTTCGTTCATATTCTAATGGTAATATATCCATTGAAGCCAGTATTATTTGTAGATCATCCACATTTGTTTGTACTGAATAAGTACCAGATTTAACTGGTTCAAATTCAATACGCCATCGACCACCTGAATCTTGTATTCGTGTATGTTTTATAATAATTTGATCAGGATCTAAATAAATAAAAGTAAATAAATCTTCTTCCTTGAAATTAAACATACCCATGACAAATAAACTAAAATCTTCATAAATTTCTGTTAATGTTGTTTCACATATAAGCCAAGCAACTTCTCCAACTTTTGTACCTTCTAATTGTCCACCAATTAAAAATTCATGGTCACCACTCTCATCTTCTTCTTCAGCAATTTCTTCTGCATCATCTTTAGTTTCTGTACTACTTTTTTCACTTGTTGCTTGTTCAAGAACATTCATCATAAATGGACTTCCTTCAATAGGTATTCCATTAAATGCAATTACAATTGAATGTTTTCCTTTCGATTCAGGTATAAAAGCTATATCGAATTTTCTTGCTTGAATACTTTTTAATTGAGCTGGTAATGTTCGTCGTCCATCACTTATTGTTACTTCTAAATGACCTTCACCAGCACCATGTGTATCAACAGAAAATATCGATGGTATACCAATATATCCATCATTAATTGAACTAACACGAATTTTATTTACATTACAAACATCAACATGATAAGTTGAAACAAGTTTATTATCGTATGTTATTGATACAGTATGTTGACGTGCTAAATTCGGTGTAAATGATACTTCATAATGATTTTTATCATTTAATCTTGATATCATTGTATGTGGTATAATTCGACCGGAATGTGTTTCAGTTACAAGTATTGTAAGAAGATTTGCATCAGTTACATCAACTAAATTTGATATTTTTATTAGAAAAATCATTCCTTTTTTTTCAATATTAAACTCACCGGTGAATACAATGGGTTGACTAACGATACCTGAAGGTATCGGTGAAACTCGAACTTGCTCACAATCAGTTCGTACTGGTATCATTAGTGTACGTACTAAAGAAAATTGTATTGTTAATACTCGAAATTATTAATATCAGACATAAGAGGGAAAGAATATTTTTATTTGTATCCTTTATGATACTCCGATAAGACAAAAAAAAGTAATTTCTCTCTACTCATCTCTGTATAATATATAATTTTGATTAAAAACGTATGTTAGAAATCAATAGAAAACAAAGATTTGACATTTTCGACTATTATTACTAGTGTAATATGTAAGTAGGCACAGTATTGTATGTCTACTATTCTCACTGTATGTGACTAGCGTTACCAGTAATCACTATACTATAGTGTTGAATAAAAAGCTGACTAGACGTAGCATATATAGTTACTGTCTATAGCATATAGGGCGGAAAATTCGATGTAATTGTTTATTTTATAATTTATTCAAGGTTAGTCTGTACTAAAACTAATATCAAAGACAAACATTGTAGTTATGATGAATATACCAAGTACTATAGCTATTCAATTATGATAACTACGAATCTAGATTTTCTTTTGTAAGAATAATTATTAAGATATATATTAAATTTCATTCATATTAAAAAGAAAAAGGAAATTCCTATTCTACTATGTAAGAATTAAAAATGTACAATCAACATTTAATTTCAGCACTTACAATTTGTTTCTCCATTAAATGCTATCTGTATAGTACATTCATCAGATGTTTCTGGTATAAATGAAATTTCATAAACATGTTTCGATATTCGTGCTTGTTCATGTGATACTTTATTTCCATTCTGTTTGATTTTTACTAATAAAATACCGTTACCAACTTCAGCAGTATTAACTATATTAAATATTCAATGATAAAAATATATATGAAATTTTTTTTCGAAAAAAAAAAAAGTTAATTTTACTTGTAAATTTACACGGTTGATGAGTGACAGCAAGTGGTAAATCACTGACACGTATTTTACTTATATCATAAACTTGACAATTCAATTTTGTCATAATTAGTTTTTTTTCTTCATCATGATAAAATCTTATCTCATGATCACCGATTTCATTTGGTACAAAACCAATAGTATATAATTTTGTTGATGTTTTTTCAATTTTACTCTTTAATTTTTTACCAGATGGAGTAACAATATCAACATAAATATTTGGATCAATTATTCCATTTAATTTCGGTTTAATTGTAATTAATGCTCGTTTATTAATGGGTGCAAATTCATAATTTTCAAATGTATAATCACTTGAAAATACATTACATGCAAAAGGTGATCCTAAAATGTAATTTTAATTAAGAAAAAAATTTTTTTTTTCTTCTTTCTTCTTACCATGAATATGAATTCCATTAAGTTTAATTCGAACATAATGAATACAAGGTTTATCTGGAACAAAATTTACACGAAATCGAGCACTACCTTCATTTTGTACATAATTTGGAATATTTTTTCCATCTCTTGATATAGATATTTCCAGATTGCCTGCACCCGAATCAGCTGCATCGACTAGATATTTATTTAAGAAAAAAAGAAATTTTTTTTTCTAATAAACAAAAATTTTTCGTTTACTAATAAATGAAGTTGGTGTACCAACAGTACTTGATGATGGTATATCATATGTTTTTATTCTATTCATATCATATGATTGAGATGTAAATGGACTACTATCAATTGGAATATCATCATGTTGAACATCGATATGAAATTCACCTGAGCACAAAAAAAGAACGAAATAATTTTTTATAGAAAAAAAAAATCAATTTGTAACGAACCAACACGATCTGGTGTATAAGTTACTTCATATCGATTTGGATCTATTTTTGTAGTTATACATGATACCAAATGATCATTTGGTCCTGTAGATATTTAATTTTTATTTTCATAATTAAAATATTCATACTCAACTCACATTAAGTTAGTATTTATAATTAAATAAAGAAAAATTAGAAATTATTCGATCCCATTACCAAAAAACAATATATATATGAAAGCAATAGCTTGTATACCACACCTTTTATCGAACATTTCAATTTTCCCACATCATCATTTTGTGTTATAACTGTGAATGATGTTGGAATATTAATTGGAACTGAACCAAGACCTTTACCAATAGCCATCACACGTTGATTTTCCATGACATTTACAGGAAATGGGCTTCCTAAATTAATTCAAATGCAATTATTATTATTATCAATGTTTTTTTGTAAGAAAAAAAAACTAGACTAGGAAGAAAAAAAAATACCTGGAGATGTTTGAAAGAAAATTGATGTTTTATGTAAACCAAACATACAAGTAGTCTGTTCATATAAATTAAAAAAGTGAATTTTTCCGCTCGACTATTCTATCATCATTCACTTTTTTTTCACTCTCTCTCTCTCTCCGCTCAGTAATGTTGATGCGCTTGAAAGAACTACATATATGTTCACTTGCGCTTTTTTCGTTTTGCTTCACCCATCATTTTTATATTAGTATGAATATGTAACAAAATTAATAACGATATATTCATATACATATTCAACACAAGTCAAGAAAAAGGAACGTAATAATCTTTTATAACTAATTGTTTGGTCTATTAAAAAAAATCATTGAGCATCTTGATTGAACCTATAAGACGATTTATGTATAATATTAAGGATGTCTAGATAAGATAAAGGTGCGAAAAAAGAACCTTGTCAATCTCAAGTATATATTAAATGATCACTTGCTTTAATCGATATATGACAAGATACCTGTATTTAAGTTTTCGTTATCTTTAAATATGTATGTATCTGTGCATATCAAAAGAAATTATTTACCCGGTACAAGTTCACCATTGAACAGAATATGACAGTGATGTGTTGTTGCTTTTTGTGGAATAAATTGAACTTCATAACTACTATTGCCTAATGGTTTGACTTCATTAGGAATATTATGACCAGAATAATTGACACTAATCTCAAGATTACCTTCACCTGCCTTCGATGCATCGACTATTTGTATACAAAAAAATATATAAGTATGTACAAGGATAATGATTCTTTTGAGTACAAATCGATAAATATAATGTGACAACTTACTGAGAAATTTTGTTAGTTTTCCAACAATACTGTCGTTCATTGCTGGTGCAACCGAAACTTTTTTTGGATCATAACATTTCGCAAAAAATGGACTTGCAGGTACTATATTTCCATTTAATGTTATATGAATTTTATAAGTTCCAACTTCGGTTGGTGTCCAATCAACTCGAAGACCAGCTATAGTTAATAGTGTTGATGGAGTTAATACTTCATCTTTAGGTGATAATATTTTCACTTCAATATTTGATGAACCACCATGTGATGTATCAATTGTAAACCATGTTTGACTACCAACCAATACTTGATTAAGACCAGGTCCATGAATTTTTATATCATTAGATGTTATAACTTGACATTCTTTAGGAAAACCTATAAAATAATAATAAGAATAAGTAATTTTATATTACGATCAATAGAAATATCTTTACCAGGTATTTCTTGTCCATTGAATTTAATAGAAAGTGTATGTAGATTATTTGATGTTGGAATAAATGTAAAATGAAATGTTGATTTTCCTAATGGTTTAACTTTATTTGGTACTTGACCATTGTTAATAGCAACTTCAAGTTGTCCTTCTCCAGCTTTAAATGCATCAATAGTAAATTCAACAGGTTGATTGTAGATGATAAAACGTGGTATTTCAGAGACAACTAAACGATTTGTATCATATGATTGTAGTAGAAACGATGAACCATATACTTCCATGTTCTGACTCGATCGAACATCTACACGATGCAGACCTGATCAAGGAAAAAAAACATATAGATGTAATAAGTGAAAGTCAGACAGATGTTATGTGTTTTCATTCATGGTCTCTGCATTTGATCTGTATCATACACTTGAAGGTGAGTTTATATGCATAGCAAATGATGAAAGAAAAAGGTGTACTATTACGATATATATATATACAGAACACGACGAACGTGTGAAAAAAAAATCTATATATGTAGCTCCTTGATATTATTGGTTACTATTGTGTATATTGTCTTATTTCAGTCTATAAATGCAGAAATTAATTTTGTGTCTAGTTCTTTCTTTTTTGTCTTGAATAAAAAGTTGCATCTTGTCAAAATTTATACGTTTATCGTATATTTTGAAAAAAACTTCAAACTTAATCGATGACTTGCTATGGTCACGTTGATTAAGTCTTTAAATTGATTAACCAACATGTTCACTCACCGATTTCATTTAGAATATAATCAATATGAGTTTTCTTTTCATTCACTTGTGTTCGCTGATAAAAAACGCAATGATTCAATGGTGCTTAAAATAAAATTAGAAAAAAAAATTTTCTTATTTTTTTTTTATCAAAATAATTATTTTTACAGGCTATATGAATATCTATATGTTGAGACTGATTACAGATATCAAACGAAGCAGGATGTGCGACATGTACATTTGTTAAATGATTAGATACAGTTACACGTGCCATTTCATCGATATCACAAGCAAATGGACTACCTAAAAATCAATAAATTTCTTTTTTTTATTTGACTTTTCTTTTTTTTTATAATTACCGGGTATTGTTAATCCATTGAATCTAATATCAATTCGATGTAGTCCACAATGACGTGGTAAAAAAGTAACATCAAATTCTGATGTACTACGTGATAGAGCACTACACAATACTTGTCCATCTTGTACAAAAACTTCCAATTGACCAATACCAGCTTTAATTGTATCGATATTAAATTTAACGAAATGATTAACATAACCATCGCTTAAATTTGAAACATGTATTTGATTAATATCAAATACATTGATTTTAAATGGATTATTATTTATAAGTTTATCACCAAGATATACAAGAATTTGTAGTTCACCAATTTCATGTGATACATAATTAACCATCCATAGGCCATCATGATGATTAATAACTTGAACGTAAGTTGAACGTTCTGGTGGACATATAATGATTTTAACTTCATCAGTTGGATTATATGCTGAACGTGCATCGATTATAAATGAACTTTGTACATTTACTTGAGCTTGACGAAGACCATCACCAAAAATATTTACTGGTTGATCTCCTAAAATCATATATATACATGAAAATGTGTTTTCTCTCAAAGAAATATTTGACTTACGAATATTCAAACGTCGAATAAACATATTTGCTCATTCATGATCTGCTATGTTAATCACAAAAATATTAATCGTAAATGTTCAATATATGAATTTTGTTCAAGATAGGACAATACGTATGAAATAAAGATGCGCATCATAAAAACGTTTATTTCATTTGACATGTTCGTCAGTCTGTCTCAACAACTATAATTATATGCTTGTCATATTACATTATATATTTTAGATTTAAATATGGCGACATACATTATTACAAAAAGAAGATATAAAAAGAGTTACTGACCATGAATCGATTTCAATTGAAAAGAACATTATCGTGGATTGTATATTTAGTTCACACTCTCATCTTTTCGTCTAGATGAATCAAACATCTTTTCTTTTCTTTTGAAAAAGAATTTTTCGATTAAGCATTAACTAAGATAGATCTTTTATTTCGAAAAATAAAATAGATTAGAATATTCATTTTGTTCAATAGTAAATCATGTTAATTTTTATATCAGATTGATTTAAAAACATATATATAAATTCAAAGATTTTTTTTCTGACAATCAGTTTCAATATGTATTAAAAAATCTATTGATCGATATCAAATATAGATCTCTACAAACTATGTAATAGCTCAATGACATGCCTATTTATTTTAATAACCATCATACTTTAGACACAAGAACTCAATTCTATTGAAGAAGAAAAAAAAGGAGACGAAGCTATTGACTTTAATATGATTTATTGTATTTGTAAAGAACAAATATATCATCATATTATTTGTCCTTGACTATAATAGTAGGAAGATATATATATTATCTTACGTTTCATCTTCTTTCGTGTCATCAAATTGAAACCAAATAACTCTATTAGAGAGGTGCATTTCGTGTTAAATTATATTCAAATCATTAACATGCCGACATTCAAAAGTACGTTTTTCAATTATTTTTTTTACATTGAAATTCAATTTTCGTTTTACTATAGATACAGAAAATCATGAATTAGCACCAAGAATGTATCGTGAAGAAGAGCAACATTCAAAAATTTCTATTCAACAATCACAACCTATTCCAATAGTAGCACCATCTGGTAAACAACCTATGCCTTGTATGTGTCCTTATTGTCATCATTCAATTGTTTCACGTGTTGAAAAATCAAATGGTTTAGTTGTATGGCTTGCTTCAGCTGGAATATGTCTTTTAGGATGTGCAGTTGGTTGTTGTCTTATTCCATTTTTTATTGATGATCTCAAAGTAATATAGAATTAATATCGAATAATATCTAAAATTAGATTTCTTCTATTAGGATACAACTCATTACTGTCCTAATTGTAATAGAGTTATTGGACGCGATAAAAAATTATAAATTAAGTACACCTTGATCAATACAGTATAAATTTTTCTTTTTTTTTTTTTGTATGAAATCTATTAATTCTTTACGAAAAACAAATATATTTTATTCAATATAAATTTTTTAGTTTAATTCAAATATGTAATGAATAAGGTCAAGAATTATTTGTTTCTTTTTATTCTATAAAATGAATAAACAATCAAGGAAAAGCATTGTAATGAAGGATATCGTTTTCTTCTCAATTCATATTCTGTCTATTTTTTGCTATTATTTTCACATCAATTACGCTAGACAATATTGTATCTTGACGCTACGAGCAGAAAAGGTAAAATGTGAACATACTATGGAGGTCAATTAAATTCTCTTTTCTTACTTTTTAATATCTTTGTTACTTTCATGCTTCGTTTATTTTTAAATATAAACTATTTCCCAAGAAGAATTGCTATATATAAAAGATAAATATAATATTCATCTTAAATCCGAAGTAGACAAGAGTGAACAATTCATTCATGTCGTACATATTTGTTTTAGTCTAGATTGTTTCATAGATTACATTTATTGACTTACATAACAGCTATTACAAAATAAGATGGTATCTATTCTGTCGATCGAAGTTAAAAACATTTCATCATTGTCGGTCATGTAAGACAATCTTTTTCTATTCATGGATGTTAAAATATATATTCATACTCGCCCTTGAATATATTATTTTACAAATATTAACAAGAGAACTATTTGCTTTACTATTACAGACATTGTATTGAACAAAAATCTATTAGTTACAAATGTCTTCAACATTAAAACATAGTCTAATTGACTATAATAATAGGTCTATAAATGTTCAAAATGATAATTTAAATATGAACTTATGTTGTAGGAGAAAAAGAAACTACTCTTTTACCTTTTTTTTCTTCTAACAAGCTTATTATTTATTAAAGTTTGTCTCTTACTCAAGATAATTATACTACAAAATACAATATGCTTTCTATATATAGTCTGCTCGAAAATGAATGAAGTATAAGACTACAATGTATAAAATAAAAAAACGAGAGAATTTATTTGACTTATCTACATTACTCAAATGAGTATTTTATGCATAAAAATTTTAAAATAAAACGTTGGGTTGTACCTCTAGTGACCGAATGAAATAAGATGTTTTTATACAGTAATTAAGATTAAAGGTCAGATTAACATACAATAAGAAGTATGTCAAGTTTGAATATATTTTTATCTAAATACATGATTGAAAAGAAAACAATATTTTATATCACGTGCATTCTAAAATATTAAAAGTGACTATTTAATAAGAAATATTGCTAGACTATTTCTCAAAGTCATTAAATGTATTTTAATGATTTTTGACGCATCTAGAGAAAAAGAAATCATTGCTGAACAATATATATACTGACCTAAAAGGAATAGGTTGAGTATTTCGAAATGTTTACTATATAGAATATATATAAGCAATTAATTCATTTGATTATTACTATTATATTGTTCTTTATGTCTTTTATCGATATTAAATTCATATATATATCGACAAAATGTCTATATTTTTATAATGAACAATGAAACGAATTATTCATTTACAGCTGATTTTTATCCTTGTATTGCTGTATTAGTTGAATTTCGTACTACCGATAGAATAATTAGTGTTGTTCATAATGTTAATCATCATATACCGTTAACATGGGCAATCAAATGAAAATTTTATTAGAAATTCTACTTTTGCTCCATTGATTCTCTCCGGCAAAATAATATTAATATTAATGAATACGAATTATAATCCAAGTAAAACAAATACATTACTTACGGATGAAAAATTTTGGAAACAAATTTCTGGTGAAAAAATTCTTCTCTTACAAATTGACTCTATTATGTGTTCCAATTCTCCACATAAAATAACTGATTATCTTCAATATGATTTTATTGGAGCTCCATGGAATCTTGTTGGTAATGGTAGATTTTCATTACGTAGTCGAAGTAAAGTATTAGCATTACTTCAATTAATTCAATACGATTCTTTTCCACCAGAAGATGTTTGGTATGCACAAAATTTACATCGAGTAAATGCATCCATTGCACCTGTAAATATAGCAAAAACATTTGCTGTTGAATCCGTATTTTATGAACGGCCAGTAGGTGTTCATCGATTTACTTGGGGATGTAAATTTCGTAGAAAAATAAGTGAAACATGTCCTGAATCAGTAATGGTTTTACCAAATGGAGGATGTTAATAAATTAAATACATTTAAAAATGCAATATTTTTGTTTTATTAGTACGCGATCGATAAATATCTAAGTGATTAAATAGTTACAGCACAATCTAAACTGATAGACGCAGTTACTATAATATATGATACGCTAATAGAATCATCATGTAATTATCAATAATATGAAGGACTAATAGATTAAGATAAACTCCAAATAGTCTATACGCGTTCGTACAAAATGATTTTCATTCATTGTCCTTCTTATATTGTGAATAGTATTAAAATCTGAAGTTTAATTGTAATTACTATAGATCTTATTATAGGAATAGTATTGTTTCATGATTACGACAGTTTATATATGGATATATTATCCAGTATGTAATTTATAGTATTGGGTTTATATTAACGGTGACATTACTTGCATTCATACTACTGATATGATTTGTCCATGAGATTCCAAACTATAAATCGGCAATGTGATTGAATTAGCGATAATAGAAATGTCAAAAATTGCGAAGTTCTTGCAAACAAATGCCCCCTATATCTAATAATACTGTAAGATCATTTAGTATCGGTATCGATATAGACATATTTTTAAAATGAAAATAAAATCATACGATTGATTCAACATGATTATCTTTATTATGATCTTATCTCAAGATGGACTAGACGTTAGTTTATCTTCACTGAATCAATAATCAATAAAGAGAATACTCTACATAATAAATAATAATCGATCTTTTTCTCTCTCGAATTAAATCTCCTGTAAAAATTCGAATTTTAATCAACATGAATATTACTAAATTTACAGTATTAGTTCATTTTCTTGATTTGATCAATGAATTTTTGATTACGTTCAATTCAACTGATTCGTCTACCGATGATTTCGAAAATATAAACATGTCATAGTTGAAAATTTCATGAATTTTTTTATTTGACAAAAAACAAGACGCCACATTCATCACGATTAAACTTTCATTCATTCATCAAATAAAATTTTACTTGTTCGGATAAAAAATTAAGTTAAGTACCACCTCTTGTTTATGTTAATAGCTTTTCTATTGAGACGAATACATATGATTTTAATGACCTTCCAATCATAATTTTAATAAATGAAACAATAGTTTGATATAAATCACAATATTATATGCTAATGATTTAATCTTGAAATGAAGAAATCTCTTCACAGACTCTCATTCATCTTTCTCCATTTGACAATATAAAAGAAATGATGATAATGACGACGATGGATAGCGTGATGACCGCTAGTAGGCATATACATAAAAATGACGAATATGTCAGTTAGATTGAAGAAGCAGAGAAGGAGAAAAAAGAACCTGTCAATGGGCAATTGTTGAGTAACGATATATTTATATTTGAATGTTTGTCAAACTTGATTATATAAGAACTTTTATCTGAAGGAAATAATATTTTCCACTTTAATGATTAAGAATTAGCTTTTAAAATAACGACAATGTTTTAATAGGATCTCTTCTTCTTCTTCATTCTCTCATTCAACACCTGTTATTATTAGTTAAACATTCTTTCCATTCAGAAAGAATTCTTAACAGACAATATTTTTGACATGATTTATGAATATTTAAAAGTAAGTATGCATATATTTTAATTTTAATTATCAGATTTTCATCAGTATAAAATGTGATTGACAACTGTCTGTTGTTTTACGGTTTTTTTTATTAATATAATGTAAAAAAACAACACACACACGTACGTCTGTTCTGATAAATGATTTGATAAGAATGAATGAATAAAAAGTAGAGAAAAACAATTGATCTTTAATTACTAACTTTCTATTTATATCGAAAGTAAAAATATATATGTGAACTTGTAAAAACAAAAGTCGATTGAGTAAATAGATAAGAATAATAATTGCTTTGTTTATTTGTTTCAAAAGAAAAACTGACATATTCATATAACTAATTAGAAATAACCTGTATATTGCATAAGTTATATCGAAAAAATATCGAGAGGTCAAGGTAGTATTGTATTGTTGATAGACAAGCTATAAAGTAAAGATAGAGCTTTTCAGCAATTATTTCCTATATAGATATATCGATGTAGAATGAAAGAGACTAACTTCCGATGTATATAATCGATCCCTCCAGCCATGGTCAGTGTTTTAAGTGTAACATTCCGAATAGGAGAATATGCAATAATATGATGTTGAAAAAAAAAGTTAATGTCCGTTTAGTTTGTCGAGTGGATAGGTTATTTCTCTTGCGAAGGAAATGTTCTTGTATAGTAATTGTCGATAGAATGCTTTGTTCATCTTTTGTGTATTAATTGTTCTATATAGAACAGTGAAATCATGTGTCAAAATAGCTTGATGAAATGCATTACTTGTCATTTTTTTCCTTCTATTGCAATCAGATATGTGTCTATATGATACTCTTTTGTATGTTAGATGCTAAAATGACAAAAAAGGTCCCATCATGAGTATTAGGAGAGTACATTACTGATACATTTCATTGTCTGACAGTGTCTTATATTTATATTAGATGATAATAAAAGTGTAATAGATACAATAAGATTTCTCGGCCTTTTTTTTATTATCCATGCTGTGATAATATCATTCAAGTGCATTGACCGAATGAAGAATAACAGACATTACCTACTGAGTTTTTCGCTTCTCTTTTTTTATTCATAAAATAAATACTCATCATTGCGCTTGATATACATTTATTCATTAAATTCTCATTGTTTTCATCGGTTGAGTTCAAAACAAAAAAAAAAAAGTGACTATATTCATCATCGAGCTATATGTACTCATATACATAGACAAT